AAAAGCTCACACCTTTTGATCGTTCTTACATTCTGCCTTATATGATGGCATTCTTTCCTTTCTCCCTAGTAGTAGATGGTGAGCCTCTTGAAGGCAGGGACAGTGCATTACATATTAGAGATACTCAATATCTGTTGAACTGTGAAGAAAATCATATTTGTACTTTATAGAAAAAAAGTGTGAAGGCAGGTGAAGTCATTCTTGGCTCAAATCTTTAAAAAAGAAGTAGGCCTCCCGTTCACTCAAACTACTGTTGCTCACCCTTTTAACAAGCAATCAATAGCCAATAAATGAGTCAGTGAATGTAATTCAAAGCTATCATATACAGAAGTGTGAGTCATGCCAGCAGCTGGGCAGTTCTCTCCTGCTTCTAGGGAAGAGAACATTCATCTACAAAGACTACAAAGCAGTAACAAGAATGGACAAGCTAACCACAGAGTCAGATGTCACAGCTGGACAAAAGGTCCAAGCTTGGTCTCTAAGCTTTGCAGGTGTCTCATTTCTATGACAGACAGAGGCGGGAGAACAAGGCTGTTAGGGCCTGTGTTCTGAAGTGGCAAAAAGCCAGTCACACCAAGCCAGCTTTTGAGGGGCTCCAAGCACATTCCCGATGAGGGCTGAGGATGAGGAAGGGTGCATTCTCATGTGTACAATATGGATGTACAGTATGTTTTCAATATGTTGCCAGTAAAAGCAGAAAAGTGCTAATATGAATATTAGGTAATATACAACACTTAGGGAACTTTTATTCATGGTTAGTTTTTATTTTAGAGAAAAATTCCAAAGATTGTTCACATTCTAAATTGTAAATAATTTTGCTTAGAAAATTATTTGTTATACTCTACATTGAATTATAAGTGTTCAAAAAAGGAATGAAGTCTGTCTCATTTTTTTCTGAAGTGGGAGAAAGAATCCAGTTTAAAAAATAATTTGGGGCCGGGCGCAGTGGCTCACGCCTATAATCCCAGCACTTTGGGAGGCGGAGACGGGTGGATCACAAGGTCAAGATATCGAGACCATCCTGGTCAACATGGTGAAACCCCGTCTCTACTAAAAATACAAAAATTAGCTGGACATGGTGGTGCATGCCTGTAGTCCCAGCTACTTGGGAGGCTGAGGCAGGAGAATTGCTTGAACCCAGGAGACGGAGGTTGTGGTGAGCTGAGATCGCGCCATTGCACTCCAGCCTGAGTAACAAGAGCGAAACTCCATCTCAAAAAAATAATAATAATAATAATTTGGGTTCAGTTAAAAAAAGTGTCTAGGATTTATTATATTTGGGCATTTTGAAATATTAAAAAATGACTTTTATCACTAGCATAGGATTTCAAAGAGAGGCTTAGGAATATTTACTAAAATAGATTTGGGTCTTTGAATTTTATTGGAGACACAATATTTACAGAAATAATACACAAAAACATGGAAAGTCCTACTTCTAGGCACTGCTCCAATGGTGCCAGAGGAAAGAACACAGGACACAAGTGGCTATGCAAGGCACGGAAGAAGGAAAGAAAAGAGACAGGACGGAAACCGCAGAGTGCAAGGAGGACTCAGAGCTGCGAGGTTCCCATAAATCAGTGTGGCTCAAATTTTTAAAGGAGATGAAGGCTTTGGCATCCTAGAAGTTACTAGCAGAAGTAAGAGGATGTAGATAAGGTAATGTGTGACATTTATGTTTTCCAAAAATCAACAGAGCCTATCAAAGTTAAATAGCAAATGAAAACATTCAAATGCTGACAACAAGGTAATGAAGAAAATACCATAGCAGTAAAAAAAGCTAATACTACTTAGGTTTCTAACCAACAGGCTAATAAAAGACTTTTTGTAGTCAATTATGTCATTCAATTCTAATCCCAATCCTGAGAGATGGGTATTGTTAGATCTGTTTGAAGGTCTAGGCAACTGAGGGTTAGAAAGAATTAATAACTGGTCAAAGATCTTACAACTACAGATGGCATCAAGGTTTGAACGCTGGCTGATTTCATTCATACCCAACTGGGTACTACTGAGTTCCTACTTGTCAGTTACTAGGTATACAAATGGGCATAGTTTTTGCTCTTAGGAACTTAACATCTAACGAGAAAGACAGCCAATAAACAACTTAATAAACCAATATCTAATTACAAAATTTGATAGACACTATGAACAAAATGGTTAGAGAGAAGTAACAGAGAATCAAGTGGGGCCTTAGCAAATTAGATAGCATGGTTAGAGAAGTGCAAGTGAGGCCTAAAGGATGGGAAGGAGCCAGCCAATCATGGGACGAAGGGAACAAACATTTGTGGAGGAGGGAAGAGCATATGCAGAGGACTTGAGACAGGCCAGCACAGCTGGACTAGATGGGCAAGAAGTACACTAGGTCTGCAAGGTAGGTAAGGGCCACAGCAATGGGGGCTCCTGCATGTTAGGAGTTTGGGTTTTAAGAGCAATGGGAAGACACAGAATTCTTTTAAGATTGGGGTTACTAAAAGACCACATTGATTTTTCTGTCTGAATAATAGGCAGTAAGAGGCAAGAACAGTAAGGAGACTTCTGCAGGATTCCAGGGGACAATGGTTGCATGGCCTCAGCTGGAGGCAGAGGAAAGGAAAGAAGAAGACCTCAGAAGTCATCTGGGCTACATTTTGGTGATAGAACCAAGAGGCCTTGCTGATGGACTGGATGTGAGGGGTGAAGGGGAGGGAGGCATAGAGGATGTCTCTAAATCCTGTGCACTGCTTTAAGCCTTATACATCATTTAATTTCCTTATCCTATTTCTTATATTAAAAAGTTAGCTATATTTATATTGGTGTTTTAAGTGACATATCTTTAAATAAACAGCTCATGTGCTAAAATCTGTTTCCACACTGCTAAGCTCACCCTCTGATTGTAACATCTGCACTGAGGTACACTACCCACAGAGAGATGTGCCTCAGCTGTGTGGTAATGGAAACGAAGGGGCTTTCACACCAAATCACCTAGGGGTGACCCCCAGTTTTGCCATTCTTCTGGGCAAATGCAAATAAGTCATAACTCTGAGCCTCAGATGACTTGACTTTATACATATGGCTAAGAACTCTCTCACAGTTTGGTTATGAGAATAGGGTAACTTATACTAAGTACTGGCCTGCAGCAGAAAGTCAATAAATGTTAGACTCCCTTCCCTTCTCCCCCATTACAGTGATGAGAATGCCACTAGTCATTTCTCAAAACACCTCTGTAACAGAGATGAGAGATCTGAGTGCTACACTGAAGATAACTGAGACACACTTTAGATGAGGGACTGCAGATCCTGTTAGGGGTCCTAAAGGGTCCTCACATGGCAGCTCTAACTCTTTAGCAACCATCCTCATCTCCTAAGATTGCCAGATAAAACACAGGACACCCAGTTAAAATTGGGTTTCAGGTAGCCGGGCGTGGTAGCTCATGCCTGTAATTCCAACACTTTGGCAGTCCAAGGAGGGCAGATCACTAGGTCAGGAGTTCCAGACCAGCCTGACCAACATGGTGAAATACAAAAATTAGCCAGGGGTGATGGCATACGCCTGTAATTCCAGCTACTCAGGAGGCTGAGGCAGGAGAACTGCTTGAACCTGGGAGGCAGATGTTGCAGTGAGCAAAAATCATGCCACTGCACTGCAGCCTGGGCAACAGACTGAGACTCTGTCTCAAAAAAAAAAAAAAAAAAAATAGATTTCAGGGAAATCCAATTTCAAAAAATTTTTAAGTATATCCCATGCAATATTTGGAACATACACTAAATTTTTTCACCATTTATCTGAAATTCAAATTTAATTGGGCATCTTGTATTTTTATTTGCTAAATCTGGCAATGCTATCTATGACTCGGCAAGTCTCTACTGGGAATAAATTACTCCAAGATTCTTCCTTCACAGCCCTGTGAGATGCTCTGACTCTTCTCTGCCTAAAAGGTTGTATCTCTCTCCATCACAGTGCTGTACTTCCACTCCTACTCTTCTTAGTTCACTCATCTCTTTTCACTTCTACCAGTAAATGTACAGGAATTCTCAAAATCTACTGAATGGCCTTATATTGGACACAGGACTTTACTTAGTGGTCATAAAGAATGCTGGTGAATGGGTGTAAGTGTATCTGTGTGTGTGAGTGAGTGTGTGTGTGTGTACATGCACACGTGTAGGTAAATAGGTATGGGGGTGTGAGCACCTGCTGTATTAACCTTTTAAAAATGAAGATTATGCTAACAATACATTATCGGGAATACATGTTGAATGTTTTCTAGTAGCAGTAAATTAAATTGCAACTACATTAATGAAAGCTATGTAGATCCTTCAGTGGTAGAACCAGTTATTGAATAAACTGAAAGAGAAAAGCTTTGAGTTCATTCAATAATCACTATCCATCAAAAGTTAAAAGCTGAAAATCTTTCATTTTAAAATCATACTACGTGAAAAGAATTGGAAATCCTAGGCCATAGTTTTAGCTATCTGAGTGTTCATTTTGCATATACTCAAGTGTTTCAATGCCCAGTTTCAGTAGGGAGAAAAAAAATTAAAGGAAACATAAATCTAGTTAATTATGTGAGACACCCAGAGCACTGTTACTGTTTGCTATTGTTCCACAACAAGATAAGGCACTTGCTCCAGAATGAAAATCAACACATCAAGGAAGTTTTGCTATTAAAAAACTGTTAGTTGAACTAAACAATGTATTTAATAGTGTAACTGACTTACATCTTGGTGCGAGCTCATTTTCTCACTGTGGACTGGTAACAAGAAAATTCATAGACCAGTGCCAGTCTGGGGACCATATTTTGAATAGCACTGATGTAAAGGACCCCAGAATTTTATAAGGTCTGCCTTCAATACGCTGGCATAAATGGAGGGGTCACCTCCTTCTGGCCATTTTCCTGTTCAAAGATCCTCTTATTTCCTTGAAATAAAGGCATCAATAATTTCTCCATTCTAACAATCTAACTAAACCTAAAAACCTATCAAAACAATAGTTGCCCCAATTTTAGAAAGAAGAGGATGTGTGCTTACTCTTCTTGGCGTAAGTCATTGACGCTGCGGTCCAGTGAGATCATGTCACTTGCCACCATGTTAAATCCAAACTCTTTAATGCTGGCTTGAACTGCATGTTTGAATTCTGGTCCCAAAACCAATGGCTTGGCTTTCTCTCCAGGGCCACCAACCACTCCAGGAGGCTCGGGTTCTTTGGGTTCAAAGTTACCAAGGATCCCTGGGCGAAGCACAGGATCACGGTAGGTGAATGTCTGAGGCTTAAATGTGAGATACTGCCTCTGCATGATATCTTTCTGGGAATCTCCTCCAGCATGGTGCTCTTGTTCATTTTTGGCCTTGTTTTTTCTTCTAATAGACTCTAAGTCCACTTCTACTCCTTCAACATGAGGCCATGGTACCACAGGTTTGAATCTGTCCTCCCCAGGAGCTAGTCCATTGCCTCCTCGGTTGGGCATGGGGTCATTGACATCTCTGTCTTCCTATACAAAAGGGAGGGGACATACAATAAGAACATGAAGGCAAACCACCACAGAAGAGTTCAAGAGACAAATTTTCAGGTTTAAAAAACGGTGAGGCAACAATAAAACAGTTCAGGATGTGGAATACAAGTGTGCCGCTTTCGGAACTTCCCATCAGAAGGTATCTTTCAGGGTAGAGAGGAAATACCAAGAAATAGGCTATCTCCTCACTTTACTGTTGCAAAATTAATGAAGGGATGCATTTTTACTTCTGCCTTTGCAAACCTACCTCTCTATCAAAGACCTCTTCATAAAGCATATTTTTAAGGGTTAGAGCAAAGAAGTTCTAAAATCTTTGATTAAAACAGATGCTTAATAGGTCATGTTTGTAAAGTATGTGGTTTTCCCAGTTGTCCCATGTGTGATAAATATAACCTTTTGTCAGTAGCACAACCATATGGTGGCAGTGGTATTAGATGTATGTCACTGTCAGCAGGCTGGCTCAGTGCCCCAAATGGCAGAAGAACAAGACGGGGATATGCAGAGTCCAAATTTGGTATTTTTCACTCACTCAGAGTTTATCTGAATTCAGAAGTATAAAAAAAGCTAATATCCGTAACTTAGTCAGCTTGGGCTTTTAAACCACTTCCCCATACCTAGCCTGCCCCATTTTAGAAGCAGCATGGGTCAAAACATTCTTTGTATAAGGATATTCATTCTTAGTAAAGGGTGCCTCTCTTTTCTGTTTGGATTGTCTTCATCACCTATGCACATCTTCCCCTCAAATATCCTCAGTACTTTTGCTTCTGAGGTATTTTATGTTAGGTCTTTTCCTAAGCCAGTACTATTCTCTGCACAAGGCACTGTTTCTCAACATTGGCATCACCTCGATGGCATTAAAAAATGCCAATGTCTGTGTCTTACCCTCAGACATTGTGATTTAATTGGTCTAAGTATTTGGATTTTTAGAAGCACCCCTGGTGACTTTAATATACATCTAAGCCTGAGAATCACTGGCTTAATGGGAGGGCTGCTTGTTATAATTAGACAAGAGGATTACAGAGGACACAGCTGGGGAAGAGGCAAGGTGCACACAGAACAACTGCAAAATAGGCTGATGGGCCTGCGACTTTCTTCTACACTAAGACTGTGTGATTCCCCAAGAGATTAGCTGTAGCGTTAGCACCACCCGACCAAAATCTTTCTATAGGGTTAGAGCTACCTTGAAAAGTAAAGTTTAACAGTTTGTCTTAAAAGTATAAAAGTAAGGTCTCTAAGTATGATGTGGATGTGTAGACTGCTCTCTATTAGTAGTTTATTTAGAGGCAAAAATCTTTATAGAAAATCAGTTATTTCAGATGTGAAGTTAGTAGGTAAGGGGTGGCTAAGAATTGACTTTCAAGAGTTCAAAAACAAATTTTTTTAAATTTTCCATTTGTTTAGGTAATATAGACATATGATACAAAATTCAAAATATCCAAAAAAGCATGTAGTGAAAAGCAAGCTTTCCTGCTTTTCCTTCTGCAGAGGCAATTACAGCTATCAACTTCTTGTGAATTTTTCTAGAGATGTGATATGCAGGTATAAACATATATGTGTATACATAACAAGATAATTTTTTTAAAGACGGGGCATAGATTTTCACTAACTCATTAAAAAAGGAACCTGTAAGATGTTACAACTGGTTCAAAGATAAATCCAAAGGACAAACATAAACATCAAGAAAATGGCAAAGAATTAACACATAGATGCAAATTAATCTGGTCACTCTGCATAGGGCAATAATCAATTGCATTCCACAAGAACAACGTCCATTTCAATGGGCAAGAGTCCTTTGCATCACTCTCAGTTTTCTGTAATTTACAGGACTGTAAAATAGGAAAGGGTGAGATAAGCTGGAAAGTTGAGTTAGACAGTCATCTTCTGGGACCATTTCAAAGTTTTTCACAAGTTTCCCCTGAAATAGAAAAGGCAACACAGCCTGATTGTATAAATGTGATACCTTTCCTCAGGCATGTGTGGTTCAGGGTTGAGAAAGCCTCTGGATCAGCCTTCTGATTGTCACAACTCAGGGATTTAGCTTGAGCCTAACCTGCGAGCCCTACTAAGGATCAGAGTGAGTGAGTAAATGGGTGTTCAGAAGGACTGAAGATTCCTTTGGGAATTAACTAGTTCTAAGAAATGTATAAGGCAAGCATGACTGTAACAGAGAAGGGGTGATTCTGATGATGGAAAACGTGTTTGTTTCTCCAATTTATCTGCTGGCTCTTTCCAAAATTATACTTACTTATGTTAGTATCATAAGTAAATTAATACAGAGATATCATTATAAAATGTGTAACAAATTGGTCCCAAGTTGTTGATGCTGAAACAAGTAAAACACAAAAAGGAGAAAGACATTGTCCTCCACTTCAATTTTTCATATCACAGCCTCAAGTGAATTGGTAAATAGGGACGTAAGAAAATTTTATTAAATACAGAAGAGAAGTTTGAACAGCTCATACAACACCAGCATCCATAGCCATAGCATCCACTAAATTACCTAATGTTCCATAGAGAGAAAACTATCTATTAGTAGAATATAGCATATGACAGTACAGGAAATCAAATTGTGAAATACACACTATAGTTTAAGCTGCCCTATGCTAATACCCAAATTGCCAATTTAAATATTTTTCAAATTCACCCGTTTCAACCAGAGAAATTTTAATGGATTCAAAAATCCATGTTTGTTTTCCTCTAAAAGTTGTTTTGGTCTTTTTTTTTTTTTTTTTTTTTTTTTTGACTTAATGGTTGTCTAATCTTAAACTATTGGTGTTCTTTAGGATTCTGTTATTAGTCTATTTGTCGTTCCATCTTCATTCTGGGTTATTTGATTCTCTCCCAAGCTCAGTGACCAGTTTTACAGTGAGTATTGCAGCATCCATTTTGCCAGCCCATATCACCTTTCTGATCTCTAAACCTCACAAGCAACTGCTTCCTGAACATTGCTATTCATCTCTCTCTAACTTTAACATAGCAAAAATTAAACCTGTCATTCACCTCACATCACAAGCCTGTTTCACTTGCTGTCTTCCTTACTTCAGGGACTGAAACCACCATTCACTCAACTGATGAAATCCAAAACCTGCAATTCATCCTCAACTTCTTATTCTCTTTTATCTACCCTTCTGACATCCAGTTAATTGTAAATTCCTGTCAATTCTATCACCTGTGTAGAGCCTCAACCTGGCCACTTCTTTCTATCATCCTCACTGCCACTGCCTTAATTTAGGTACCCTCACCTCCAAACAAGATTACAATAGGAATAGCAGTGACGATGGGAAACACTGTGCCCTAAGAGCTTCACATATATTAACTTACTCAATCCCATGAGTTAGGTACTATGATTGCCATGTCTATTTTACAGATGGGATGCCTGACAGGGAAGTTACCCAAGATTAGTATCAGTATGTAGTAGAGTCAACATTTCAATCCAAATTACCTGGCTCAAGAGTCCATACTCTTAATCATTATGACCTAGTGCTTCTCCCCCTGATATATGCACTTCCTACACAGCAGCCATAGGGACTTTTCTAAAATTCATATATCAACATGTTTCTTTCCCTACTTAGAATATTCCAGCAGTAGCCCGCTGCCCTCTGGAGAATATACACTTCTCAAGAGGGACAGCAAGGCTTTTCTGGCTCTGGACTGCATTTATGAAATGTCTCCATCACTATCCATGAGACAGGAGTCAGCTAACTTTTTCTTCATAGAGTTAAGTAGTAAATATGTTTGGCTTTGCAGACCACAGAGTGTCTGTGGTAATTATTCAAGTCTGCCTCTGTAGTGCAAGAGCAGCCATAGACAATATGTAAAGGAATGGGTATGGCTGTGTTCCAGTAACCCTGTATTTACAAAGACAAGTATTGGGCTGGATTTGGCCCCCCAATCCCTGCACTAGACTGTAAGTTCTGTGAAAGTGCAGAGGTTTTGTCCATCGTATGCATCACTGTATGCCCAACACTTTTACTAGCACATATAAATACTCACAAAATAAATGAATGAATCCTAAAATTTCTGCTTTGGTGGCAAGACAGAGCCTGAGAAGAAAAGGGGAGATAAAAAATGGAAAATATAAAATGGGAGAGCCAGACTTACATCAGAAAGATCCTTACAGGTAATACCTTATGAATTCACCAAGAACATAGCTCTATATTCCCAACACAGCACTGTACTTTTCATAATGCTATATAATAGCACCAGAAAATTGAATTTGCTTACTTCTCAAAGGCTGCACGTCATTAAGTCTGAAGGTGAAACCAAATATGAGAATTGTCTGTCTAACCCCAAGTCAACTAAGAATATTCACATCAAATCTTAATGTTATATGATTCAAACAATGGCTATAAAGTGTAATAGTTAACTTCCCTGAGGATAAAAACTACATACTCCTCCTTTCCGAGAGTGAATGAGAATCAGTAGATGCCTCTGTGACTCACTGGTACTATGGTACCTTCGTAAACACCAGCTGATCCACTCTACAGCCCAAACCAATGAATCACTGTTGAATAGAAATGGAAAAGAGGATGAGTAGATAATTTTCTGAGATCAACATGTTCATAAAGGTGGAAATGGACTGAATAATATAGTCACTTATCACCAGATGGCAATATGGATTACCAGAAATAAAGTCAGGCTAGTCACTATCCACCTTACAACTTACAAAGTGCCCCTTCCTATCCCCAAATCCTACTTATGTGTAATATTTTTGCAAGATGGTCATGCCTTGGTAGAGATCCACAGGGATTTAGAAAAAATGGTCTTTAGAGCAAATGACAGTAACATAGGCTTGTTTGGATTTGAAATCACAGGCAAAGCCTAGAAAACTAAGCTTTTAAGCATGAGCTCATGTAGCCACATGATCTCTTGAGAAAAGACAACGTAGCTTTAGGAAAGGGTCACTGCTTAAACAACATGCACCCTATTTGGTTATCATTTTTCATGAGCCACAGAATTTAAAGGCCTAATAAGCCAAA